AGTTGATTGAATTTTTCGTGAGCTACTCGAATCTATTATTAGAATTTCAATGCGATCTTATTTGACCGAGAAATAACAAATCTACTGACAAATATGTATTTTAAGAAAAATGCGTGATCGGCAGTATTTCAACTCATTCTGCATGGGTTAAGATAGACAGTCCTCAATGATTGAGGCAATTGAAAGAATCTTTATGTTTTTCGGATGACTTTTCATGAAAGTACATCGTTATTGCAGCGGCTACGTCATATATGTAAGGGAAGTTAGCAGTCGATTCGAGTTTTTTGCAAAACGATTCGCTCCATTGAGTGAGCCACACCAGAGATGCAATGGACCAGATGCAGCTCGACGAGCTCTATCGATTAGTATAAGTTTTACCTTCAGAAGAATACAATTTTGGGGGTTATGATTGCTAGAAGATCTGTAGGAAGGCTTTGGGCCCGGATTCCCTCTGACGCTTCACTCCACGAACTGAGCCACTTTTGGAACTTATCTCATTCGATGCAGCTTGACGAATTCCATCGATTGGCATATGTTTCGTTCGAAAAAAAGAATTTCGACCATTAAGGTTTCCGAAAAACCTCCAGCGGGATTCGCAAGGTGTTGCCTTCGATGACCCATTCCAGCGCTTGAGCCACTAATGAAACAGAGTTAAATCGATGCAATGTGAGAAGCTCTTTCGAATGATGTATGTTTGCATATAGTTGTTGTATATGTTCATAAATAAGAACACATAAAATCAAGATATGTACGCTTTTTGTGGTTTTTTCATTGAACAATTTGCTGGACAATTTGAATTACTGATTGATTAAAGCTGAATCGTTGCTGTATGCCGAGTCGTCTCGAATGATATGTTTCATTATAATTTTCCTTGGTGATAATGTTGTGAATAAGGGTCCTGCTGACTATAATTTTATTCTTATCAAAGCGAAACACATGCCAATCAATAGAGCTCGTTGAGCTGCATCTAATGAGATAAGTTCCAAAAGTGGCTCGGTTCGTGGAGCGAATTGTCAGAGGGAAAACGTTTTTTCAATCTTTTTCTATGGGGAAAAGATCAATGTCTTTGTTTTCATTTCGGCTACTAAGCTCTCAGACAAAATCTGATTATACTATTCGATAGAGCTCGTCAAGCTGCATCTGACTCACTGTATCTCTGGTGTGTCTCACTCAATGGAGCGAATCGTTTTGCGAAAAACTCGAATCGGCTGCTAACTTCCGCTACATACATCATATTTCCCGTTTTAAACTCGCAGAAATTTCGCTGAAAGCTTTTCTTTTTAATATCACTTTCGTAAGTTCGATGAAAATAACAGTGTACACTCTAAAAAAAATCGGATTTTTACCGAACTCCCAAAAAAGGTTCCGGAGATTTCTAAAAGCGTCCAAAGGTGTCAAAAGTCTCAAAAAAAGGATAAAAAAATCTACGAAATCTTTAAAGGTTCTTACCGTGTGTCCAGGATAAGAACCTTTTACTGCGAAACCTTTTTCAAAGTTCCGTACAGCAGAAAAAGGTTTCGTAGGCAAATACGAAACCTTTAGAGTTTCGTATTAAACTCTAAGAAATCATGAGGGTTTAGTACGAAACTATTAGGGTTTAATAGGAAACTCTAAAGGTTTCGTATTTGCCTACGAAACCTTTTTCTGCTGTACGGAACTTTAAAAAAGGTTTCGCAGTAAAAAGTTCTTATCCTGGACACACGGTAAGAACCTTTAAAGATTTCGTAGATTTTTTTATCCTTTTTTTGAGACTTTTGACACCTTTGGACGCTTTTAGAAATCTTCGGAACCTTTTTTGGGGGTTCGGTAAAAAACCGATTTTTTTTGTGTACCTTGTATCTAATGTAGCTTTTCACATGTTTTTTTTGTTACCTACTTTTAATAAATTCTAATCGATTACTTTGCTCAATTAGCCATGAATAATTACAGTCTAAAAAAAGTACAACAGGAAATTTAAAAAGTTTTCGGTCTAATATTCAACTGGAACGAAATTTAAAAGAGTCACGTATAAAAAATGCAAAGTTTTTCTGGTTGTAAAACGTTTTAACAGGTTTCAAATTTTTTGTGGAAGAAGTTTTTGAGATTTCGCAAGAAATCTTACAAGAATGTGTCTGTACATCCCATATAAGAACATTTTCAGTTCTCATTTTCCATTTTGTTTTATGGTATTCATTGTGTTTTTCACAATTTTTGCGTCATTGCCCTGTTATAAATCTACTATAATTGATCAAATTGGAAATAAATTGTATTCAATTATCATGTTGATTGATTATTTTTGATGATCAGTGCTGCATTTTACTCTTATAACTAGGTTGACCTATCTTGAATGGCATATAATGAATTAAAATAGATTAAGAGTAGGAAAATAAAGTAACGTACTCTTCATACTTTGTCAATATTGCTTTCATTCTTCTTAAGCCACTCTATCTCTTGTGCTATATTCATTGTGCATCAATTCAACTACTAACGTTTTAAAGCGTCGACAGTTATTTTAGATTTTGAGCTGTGAAACAATATTTACTTGATTCTCCAATCGTGGTTTTCACTTGAATTTCCTACACATGCCGATAGATGTTATCGTCGCGGGTTTGCCACGTTCGGGCACATTATCGGTGCGCGAGGCTCTTATGCGATTGGGTTTCAACAAGACAATGCATATGACTGTATTAATAGAGGATCCTCTTCTGGTGGCACTCTGGACAGAAATCTATGAAAAACATTTGGAGAAGACATGGACGACTGACGATTGGCGACGCCTGTTCGATGAACGACTTCCAGAGTATGTCGCAATCACCGATGCCCCATGTTGTGATTTTGCAGTTGAAATTGCTCGAGCCTATCCTGAAGCGAAGGTAGTTTTCCTGTACTCTTTTTCTTTCTCACATTTTTTTCTGCTCAGGTTATTTTGCTCTCTCGAGACCCTGAAAAATGGCTAACCTCCTATCAACATCTTTTAACCCAATTTAATGTTTCCACCTTGGAGCGTATCGTTATTTCGTTTTTAAGGACCATTCATGCAAAGTTTCAGCTGGAGAAGTGTCGACGGGCCTGGTGGCGAGATGTGTATAATTATCCTGATGCAGGCAAAGAGGTCATGCCATTCTATTTGAACAAAGTCAGAACAGCGATTGAACCGAAGAGAATTTTGGAGTTCAAGGTGCAAGATGGCTGGGCTCCCCTCTGCAAATTTTTAAACAAAGAAATACCGGAAGAAAATTTTCCTCATCTTAACAATGCTCAAGCACTAGTTGAATGGAAAAATCAGAAGAAAAGAGAAGCTATGGCACCTTGGATAAGGCGACTCAAGCAAGCAGTCACAGTCGTGATCACGCCGATCATCTTTGCATCAGTCTATAAGCGAGTCTATAGACGAAGAACTTAATTTCTTGACTGGATCTAACACCATGAAGCTTGAAGACAGTAGAAGATAAACAATAATATTCTCCATCATTTGAGAGAGCTTGTACAAACGAAATTCTATTTCTGTTCTTAATTATTTGATCGAAAATAATTTCAATTATGAACGTTCACTCGTATTTTATAAGTGTCATCATTAGGAGTCTCAATAGAGATTTTGTGACGTAATCGATATACCTTTCAATATGTTTAAGCGACAATATAATGCGCTTAGCTGTGCTCAAACACGAACCTGCAGGGGATTCCCAAAAACTATTTTACAGATGTACATCCAGCTGGAATTTGGTTTGTGTTCATTCGATACGAAAAAAGACGATTTTTCATCGTATTCAACACTCATTATTGATCCAATACAGAGCTTATTCAGGTTCAACAACAATGTTTCAGACGAATATGCCATGTCCTTCTCAACTGGCAAGTCGCTGATTGTAACGAAAATGGAGAATGCAGCTCTACCACTGGTTGGGCATTGATGTTAATGAGCTACTAGTGCATTCCACTATCGTTATGACAAATGGAGAGGCACATTAAATGTCTTTGATCCCATTGTGGGGATGATGTTTATTCGACTGTGCACTACACCCAATTGTGCATACATCCAAGTGTAATTATCTAATACATAACATGAGCTTATATAGAAGAGGGATGGGAGAGAAGAGAGGGAAAAAAGAATACAATACCAGAGGAGAAAGGAAAGAGGAATGATATAACAGAACATTGCGCAATCGTATATTTTACATATGAAGGACACGTTTATATACGAAGAGGTCAAGGAGAGAACAGACATAGGGGAACAGTATAGTATACGATTGAATGACGTTACACAATGAGAAGCACATAACGACAGCAAGAGAATAAGGCTAAATCACGCATAGACGAACGTAATAGCAACACGATCCACGAACACTGTGCATCATAGATTGTACGAGAACACACTGAGAAATACATGATATCACATACGCTACTATGCCTGTTGGCACACTGATGTTTGTACTGCGGCAGGAGGGGAAAGGGATATTTCGCACTAACTTTTCATTACGATCTCCAGTAGCATATGTTCGTTACGATCATCTGACATAAGAAAAAAAGACAGGGTGTTCGAAATGAAAATTGCCCAGATGATCGTAACGAACAGTCATGGTCGACTTTGACATATAAAAACTTGCAATTTGACTGGAGTTGGGAGTGAAAATCACCGGAAGATCGTAATGAAAGTTAAGACAAATAAGATAGTGAATGTTTGAGTATAGGTGTTGGTCTTCTCTTCCACTCACATCCACACCTCAAGCTATAGCTCAACGACTTCAAAGGACTTCATAAGACTTCATAAGACTGCATAAGACTTCAGGAGACATCATGGGACTTCGCGAGACTTCAGAAGACTTCAAGAGTAGTCTCAGTTGTTTCTTCCTCAGAGTTTTCATATTTATTTTATAACTTTCTTTATGAATTCGCACAATAAATCTTTTAAAGTTTTTCAAAAGCAAATAATAAAATAAAAGTTAATCAATATTTATTATGTCATTTTGATAAGAAATAGAAGACGCGTGAGTATGAAATATAAGAGTCTTGAAAGAATTCATTTATGAGTTTGTCGATGGTAAAATAAATCTGCCACTAAATAAGACAATATTTTGTCGACTTTCACGAATGAGGAATAGAAATGGATGATCAGGTTTAAATTCAATGGGCTGTTGTGGTGGATTTATTTGCTCATGACAAATGAGGATAGCGGCTGCATCTGCTGCTGCTTCTGATCCTAAATGGAATAATAAAAAAAAGATAAAGGAAAATCTGTGAATTGCTAAACATGTCTTCAAACGGATATCAAAGATTTAGTGCAAACATATTCAATCTTTTTATTTTAATGTATCAGAAACAGAGATACCGGCAGGTCACTTTTTTGCGGTCTGGTCTAGCCTGCAGGCCGAATCATGTTTCTGATTTTGTGAATATGCTTAATTTTACAAGTCTACATAAGTGTCATTTTTCTTTCAGCTGTTCACTTCGTTTATTTTCATGAAGACAAGATAATTTTCAATTCTTACACGAGATAGAAAATTCAAATAGAGAGATAGTAAACAACAATTTTCATACAAAAAACACATTCCATTAACACCGTGCCCTTGATGATATTAGCAGTGCACACTAAAATAAAATGTGTCGTATATATGTGTCGTAAAAGAATGTGTCGCAGACTCCATTACAAAAATGTGTCGTACAAAAAAGTGTCGCATTATAGATGTGTCATAGCCTATATGTCAATCGTTCATTCACCGATTTGTTTCGCGAGTGCAGCTGCATATAACCGAGCCGATTGGACGTACTTGACTTATACATTTTCGTATGTCTTTTTTTTCTAGATTATTTCTCGACCATTTATTATTCGAGAAGATGTCGAGAGGTCGCTAGATTATCGAGAATGGACTGCCTCGAAGTAGTCTGATCGAGATCAAATGGTCTCGAGGCAGCTAGATCTTAAGATCTACCGTCTCGAACTCCAAGAATAGGTGCTACTGTTTGAAATTAACTGAAAAAATAGTAACTATTCGAATTTTGAAAAAAAATAATCCTCGTGCCGAAAAATGGATTCGAACCACGTGTTAAAAATGTGTCGCATGTGTCGCACAAGAATGTGTCGTACGTCCGCTGGAAAAAATGTGTCGCAACGAGCTCCTCGTGTCGCATATTAATGTGTCGTACATTGTGTCGCAAAGTGCGACACATGCGACACATTTTATCTTAGTGTGTGTTTTGCATTATCGAAAAGATGTAATCCTGATAACTAAAACAACTTGCAAGGGTACATACAAAAAAGCGGTAATAGTAGGTATACAATTAAACTGTTGGAAGTATGTGATACTTATAAAAACAGACAAGAATCTTTTACACTTGACAATATATTTTAGTAAAAGCATGTTCGCGAAATTCTCTATCCTACCGCTTGGGGTCTAAAAATACTTTCTGTCAGTGAGCGCAAATCCTATATAGGCTAATATATTACACCCACACCCTCCTCCATATAATAGGAGACTTCTTCGGAGGAACAATACGCTGCACGCAATAGAAGACCTTCTTTAGCTAATTTATCGAAATGATTGGGACTTTAACCAGTGAATTTACATCAAACTATGTCCGGTTTTCACGATTTTGAGTCGGAAATCTTGAACAAACAGAGGTAAACATTATTTCTTGGCTTTGGAAGCTCTAAAAATATCTTTTGAAACCAGTAAAATCCTTTTGGTTTTCTGAAAAACTTTTTTAGTTAAAATTTATTTGAAGAAATGAGATACAAGAAAAGACTCCCTGGAAATATTTTACGTTTGAGCACAATAAAAGATCTGAGAACTTCCATTGTGGTGGAGGGATATTACTGGTAATAAGTAATAATTTTGAAAAGTCATAAGAATAATAAGAGTAGTAAAGTAAAAAGGTAACAATGGGTGGGTCGAAAGTTTTTAGACAAAATGTTTCTTCATTTTTTTATACGCTAAAAAGCCTTCTCGCCCAATGAAAAACAATAGATTAGGACCAGAGTATCGTTCTCTTTTCGAATATGAGCTCAACATATATGTTTGTATTTAGTTTTATTGGTGAGTAGTGAAATTATCTTTGAAAACCTTAAAAATTAGTTCGAAGAGAAACTTTTTCGTACATGTTCTATTGGGAACCAAAATGTAACATTGAAACTTTGGTTCATATATAAGATTGCAGAGCGGGTGTGGGCGTGGGTAGGTGTGAATGTGGGGTGTGTAATAGATAACAATCACACCCACACCAAAGAAAATTACCAGACAAAGGTAATAAGTAAGAAAGTAATAAAAATTATTACCAATTACCAAGTAAAAGTAATAAAAAAGTAATAGGAATGTGGCACCCCAAGTCCTACAGCACTAAATTGATGCTTGTGTCAAAAAATCTCTGCCAGTATCAAATCAATTTGTTAACGCATTCTCAAATAATAAAGCCATGCATCCGCATTTGATTTCTAACATTAATGAGCCAGGCCGGCAGCTCTGATCACGAACGTGTATTTTATTACCGAGAATTTTTTTTTTTGATTAAGTTCTGAATAAATTTTATATAAGCAAATATTGAAGCATATATGAACACGATAATCATGTAGATCTAAGAAACTTTCCAGTTAATAGCGTGAGATTCTTTTTAATTTCTCGAATAGAAAACAAAAACAGATGATCGTTGTCAAATTCAATGAATTCGATTTTTGATGCTTTTCGATGTATATTTGTAAGCTCTACAGCAGGCAGCTATTGCTTTTGATCCTTTGCTGAAAAGAATAAAAACTAAAAATATTCCCTTTTTAAGATATCAATCAGTTAAAACAATCCAATAACAGCTATTAACATGAATTAAGATGTCATTCGAATCACAGATAAGAAAACAGAACTCTGAATGTGATGGGACAATCCTATTCCATTCCATTTCTTTCTATGGAATTGTCTTTTGTTCTCTTGAAACAATCCAAGATTTTTTTCTGTTGCAATGTGTTTCAACAGGGTACTTTATAGGTGTTTTGAGTAGTAGAATTCATGTTAACATCATTGTTGATCTTATTCTTCAACATAAATAGGTTCATTGCTGATTTTTTTCTACTATTTTTCATGAAAAAATTTTACATCTTTTTTTCAGAAGATTAAACAATGAAATCTACGACTATTTTTGTGGAATTCTATGTGCTTCACACTAGTTTTTATTTTTTAACGCACTCCTCCATAACTATTAATTATGTAGATAAAGAGACATGATTATAAAGAATCTTAAGTTCACATCACTTTTCAACACAATTTTTTGATAAGCTTAGTTTAAAGAGAAGTAATCGGCAGTTAGCTGGTTTTGATGAATTCTGTTGAATTCACTATAATATTCATTGTGGTTCACCAATATCTTAATACCCTAGATTCGTAAGTTCCTTCTTGACGGACACATTTTTCTAGAACGAATCTTAGAAGGTGGAAAAGCCAAAAAGCAAACGTCTCTAAAAATGTTCTTGGAATTTAATTATTGCGCAATATCATGTTCTATTTTTTGTTAATTTTTTTGTATCAGAAATGAAATGAAAAAACACGTTTAATATTGATTTTTACAGCATAAAGACAGCCCTTTCAAATGATGTATTCGAAGTTAAATTTACTGTCGGTTTGTATACTAAAATATGGCTTTTTCTGAAAGAGACCGTATGATTTGGTCGTTCTTAGTACTTTACCGTTTTGCAGCAATACAAAATCCTTTTTGAATTGTTTCTTTTTCTGCTGAGTTTCTATGATCTGGCATATTTCGAAAAATATAACGCACAAAGAATTCACTTCATGCATGGTTTCTAGAGATTGTGGTTAATGTCCTTTCCAACTGATAGTTCTTGCAAAACACTGTATTTTACAAAAAATTTTATTTCCAATGTTTTTTTTGACTCGAGAGTCAAGAACGGATCTAAAAACTTTTTCTAAAGCTGCTATCAATAGACCTTTTGATGTACTACATTTTGGTGTATTTTTTGTTGGAGTTTGATCCATGTGGCTCCGTATAATTGAGAATTAGAAACTTTTACAGTTACAGAAACGTTTCAAGACACTTTTTTAGAGATGTTTGGTATTCGTTCTAGAAAAATATGTCTGCTACAAAATTTATAGTTGAGACATTGGTCTTTCCAACAAACAAAAAAAAAACTTCATTGGTTTAGAAATTGGCAATATGGTTTAATACAGTGTGACCTTTTTGCAAAGACTTTTACATCGCATGTTATGTGATTAGTATAAAAAAAAATAAATGTCAAATAAAATTATCTAAACATGAACTGATAGAGGAAAACGAAGATAATCGAATACGCAAGTCTTATAAGCCAATTCAAGGCTTAAAAAAGAATCTTTTTTTATGAGATGTGTTGCCCGACGGGATACGATGCGACAAACCAGTTTGTTTCCATGGGATCATTTTTTCATCCCATTCAGAACTCTGTAAGAAAAATATTTTCAGTGTGTTTCATACTCAGTTATATTAGTAGCTTTTAACTTTTCAACGAAAGACTCGAAGAAAAATTTTTAAGAAATATAATAAAATATTGCACTGTTTTTCCCAATGACAAACAAAAATGATCAATTGGGGTTAAACTCAATTGCCGCATTCATTATCTTCCAACCATATTTTTCTCGTTCTATCATTACTCTTGTTTCTTCAGAAACTTTACAATTAAGATAAATTGCTTTTGTTCACTTACGTCAATAAACGCTTTGTGAATAACCTAGAATATTACACTGATTAGCATTTTCTTATCAATAAATTATTTATCTTGCTTATTGTATAAATAATCTCTATTACTTTTTCCACTAACGATACCTGTAAAATTTGCTTTATAATTACTAAATGCATATTTCTTTCCAAGTTGTTGAACAATATCACTTAATTGAAGTGTCGCTTCCATTTTAAATTTTGGTAAATATAAATGAAGCTCTTATGTTCTTGTACTTTGATGACTTAATAATTTTTGTTCTACAACATCTAACTGAACTCCTCGACTAGGTAAAATCACCATAAAAACAAACTCAACATCTTCATTTTCACTTTTATATGGTACATGCACAATTTGTACATGTAAATCGTTATTTTCAGCATAAGCAAATTTCTCTCGTTGATGCATTAATGCTACTTTAGAAATTTTACCATTCGCTTTATGAAAATCAGCATTTTCATTTGTTAAATTTTTGCTAAATTCTTTTTATCCATGTACCCTATGATTCAATTAATAACAACAAATTACTTTTCTTTCACTAAAATTTAATATTTACCTTAAAATAAATACTATTAATAATTATTAATCTTGCCTCAAGTGTCACGTCTTTTATTGAAAGTAAATCTCGAATTAAATTATTTGCTTGTTGTTCAACCCATGCATTGATTCTTTAAACAGCTTGAGCACCTTCATTTTCAAAATCTTCCTGTTTCATATCTACTTTAAACGAATTTTGAACAATTTTTTAATATTCTTCTTGAAGTTGATATGCTTTTTGTGCATAAAGACGATTGGTTAATTTAAGTTGCACTTGTTTATCTTAATTAGCAATAGAAAAGATATGCATAATTTGTTCAGCTGTTTTTATTAATTGTTTTTTTTTGATGATGCTTCACATGTTTTTAACATTTGATTTAATATTTCTTGTTGAGCACCAACTGTGCACATTGACATCGCAAGAGAAATACTTGCTGGTGAAACAAATATATTTTCATTCTTCTTATTTTGACTAACAGTGGAATAAAGTTTGAGACCAAATTGTTCGAAACTTGTAGTTATTGATGATGATAAAGCCACAATAAGGAGAAGTAAATGGATTACTGTCATCAAAATCATATCTTCTTCAATAGAAATATTTATTTTGTTGCAGAAATATTTTAGTTTCTTGATAGATATTATCCTACTGTTTCATTTTATTCTCAAAAAGGGATAAAAATTGTCAATAAAATGCAATGAATGATTCTTTGAATGTCGAGACTCTCATTCGTTCTATATTTCAAGAATTATCCTTTTCCTTTTTTGTTAAGAATTTTCATCGCTATTTTGAGGATAAAAACATTAGAATAATTTCTGTTAAAAGCTATAACTCGGTTATTGGGATCCCTATGACAACGAATATATTCTTCAGAAGAGTATGGAACTATAGAACCGTCCTAAATTCTTCAATCCCTGATTTTCTTATGGGCTTATGCTAGAGTGAGTCATTTATTTATTAATGAAGGTCCATGTTACTACTGCTTCTATGGATTTATGTATATTGTAGTCACTCTTCACTGATCGGAACCATGATCTTCGTTTATTGAATTATTACATTGGATGTTTTTTAGGGTTAAATATTGAAGAAAAAAAAAGTGAAGTCTACTTTACACGATATTTTATTATAGAAGAGTCATTTGCATTATTGTCTTGCATCGGGTCAGATTACAGTTTGGACGGCTTCTCTGTACTATCAATCTAATGTGTGTGATCAACACACGCACCGAACTAACCAGAAAGGATAAACATCGAAGCTGATGTGCTTGATGGGGAACTTGTTGAATTTACCCACTCGATCCGATGCAAAGCTCTAATTCACATAAATTTCCAGAACAACCAATCAATGGCCTAATCGTACAAAACTCTCTTTACTATTCTCCATTTTCTTAATGATTTCTTGTTAGATCTAGAGGGTGAAAACTTCAGTAAATGACTGAATAGTGAACTATTACTTTCTTTATTGAATATATGTGCTTACTAAGAAGAGAGAAGAACATGTATCAACATAACGAAGTACAGACGATTTATATGAAGTGAATGAATGATTATCGCACTTTATCTCACGAGGGGACTTCTGCAGCTGCCAAGAAGCTTTTGAGCTCAAGTTTTGCCCACAAGTAGATATGGCATAGGCTACAACAAAAAAATATAAAAGGATAGGTGTGGGTGCGATGTGTAAACTAGAGGACACCCACATCCCACACACACCGGCACCCCACATACATCGATACCACACACCCGCACTCACCAACACCCCACATCCACACCACACACTCCACACACACCCACACGCCACATCCCACACCTACACCCCACACCCACGCATCCCACCCGCTCGGCAGTCTTGAACATATCGTTTGCTGAGCGTTACAATAAGATGTTCGTAATGTCGTGACGGTTTGGATAGCAGTTCGCTCGGTTGCAGGCCTCTCCTGTGCATATTATGTGGTCGTTCTTTTCAACATTGCAACGTGATATTTGATAAGAAAATTTATTTTGCATGCATGAGTGTTAGTATCTTTTTGAAGTCTAGAGGACCTCTAGCACTGAAATTATATTAGAGAGTAGTAAAGTCAGATAATTGTAATGGTTTTCAAGGATGAGCTTTTCCAAAATGGAAAATACAACCTTTCAACATTCACGTCTAGGCAATCGCAGAACGTGTTGCTACATATTGGGTAAGCTTTTACGATAAACTATTTACCTGTGACATCTTATGTATTAGATTGAACCATTTTCAATAAGTGCTGGTAAATGGTTTCGTGAGTTCTTCGCAGATCTTCTTTCAGTCAGAACCATTTTGATGATTTCGCGTTGTATCCGATACCAGAACCCTCAAAAAGGTTCTGCCGAATTCCTTTTTTTCAGACCACATCCACACCCTTATTAAACAAAATATGGCACCTCACACCAGCCAAATAGTGTTTCATATGTTTTTCACTGTTGCTTTCTATCGGGGCCATAGGCAAAAACATATCCTGGATCGGAACTGGCACTAGGAACTGGATTTCGGGACTAGGTCGGAACCAAAACATGACTAGCCTCGCCAATGCCTAGGCGCCGGCCTACGAAAAAGTTTTCGAATTTTCATTTGACCAAATCTCATTGAAATCGTTCAATTGGAAGATTATAACTTTGAGCTCTGCTGTCATGCCGTCATCCAATAGTGACTTTATCAATTTTATTCAAGCTGAAGCGCTCACGATGATAAAAAATCAGTACCTTTTGGCATGCGATAAAAGGCATCTTCGAATACCTTGTGCCCACCCATAGCCAACAACGGTCGCACAGTCCATTTCTTCACCAGTCCATGTATGACAAATGGATCTGTTTTGATATACTTCATGATTTCTTCTTCAGTTGCATCTAGCCAAACAGACATTCCTCCCGTGGCAGCAGCTGCCCTCTCTTCACGTTGACTGTTTAAGAAGGGTCCGATCAGCACGATCTTGCCACCGTTGGATGCGGTATGAGCCTGAATATGAATATAATGGGGTGCCATGTATTGATCGACTTTATCAGGATAGTCGGCGGTGAATTCGAACTCAACTACAGTAAATTTGGCTTGCGAAGAAGAAGCAGATGAAGACTCCATCGTATGTTTGATTGTCGAGAATGCGCTATTTGGTAAGTGCGTTTGATATTAAGAAAGCAGTCGTGTAAAGAAGAAAATGAAAGAATCTTATCTCAACCCACATGACGATGCATTGAAGGGCTTTTTTTTCATTTTCTCTGCGTTATACGACCCTCGAAAACACTTATCAAAAATATAAGAGAGATAATATATCAGAGTGTGGATGTGGTTCCTTTTTTCACCTCATGTCTACACCAACGCCCACATCCTCAATGGCCATATTGTGCACTTGAGGGTGTGGGTGAAGGTGTGAGTGTGAGTGTGGGTAGGGGTATGGATGTGAGTGTGGGGTGTTGGGTGTGGGTGGATGTGGGCGTGGGGTGTGGGTATGGAGTGTGGGTGTGAGTGGGTGTGGGTGTGGGTGTGTGGGTGAGGGAGTGGGGTGTGGCTGTGATCCTTCTTTTAACTCACACTAACGCCCGCACCTACCGACACGCATATCCACCAACACCCATACCCAAACCCCAATCAAAATTAGAGACAAGGACAGTCTTGTATGAGTAAAACTCAATGCTTGCCGTTATTTGGCTGCTGCATTGCATTTGAAAAATAGCGAAAAGAAAGTGTTATCAGAGCGAGAACAGACTATAAGAGAAGATGAATCTACTCTACTGGATTCGTTTATCAACTGGCATAGGAAGAATTAATTGTTAACAACAGTATGACGATGCTGATGAGATCGGTAGGCGTACGCCATCTGTTTTTACTTTTACTAATTGGCACTATTATTTTTTCTATTATGACGATGAAAAAAACGAAGAAGTAAAAAAAAAAAGGAATCATGTGCAAACATCGAAGACACATTGCACATTCTCTGTCGTTATTGTGTGCCGTACAAATATGAGTGTTTTGCACGCATGTTGTTAGTCATGATATACAACGTCAAGCTAAACATATAAATACAAGAAGAACAATACAATTTCGATTCATCTACTCACAAAAAATTGTGTTTCGAATCAGAATGTCAACATATATTCGTACCACATTTTTTCTTATGTTGGTATATCTTACTCAAGCTAACGGTTTCAATGTTCTAGTTATTAGCTTGGGTCTTGAAGGTCATGTAACGCCTTTATTTGAACTAGCAAAAACTATGCAGAATCACAACGTTACATTTCTCACTACAAAACTGGCTCAATCTTATATTAATTTCGATGCTTTTGCTTCGTCTTTCTTTCGTGTTATTTATTAGAATGATTCATCCGATGCATTTTTGATCGAAACGAGGCGAGAACAAGAAGTAATGTCTACAGTTGCCAATCGATCAATATTCGATTCCGCGCCATTCATTTTAACAGTATTCTCCGCGATGATTTCATCGATTCTGGACAAGACTGTCCACACACTCATGAACGACCGCTTCGATGTTATCGTGTCCAGTACAGTGGTTATTGGTGCACCTGTTTTATGCGAGAAGACGGACACACCTTGTGTCATTCATAATACGGGTGCACTTCCCAGTTTGCTCGATTTCAACTTGCCCAACATTTTTTCATTGACAACAACAAAAGATTTAACTCAACTTTCATAGCATCTTTACAATATTGCCTTTACTCTACGAATGGCTACAAAATTATTGCCAAAACTAGTACCTATTTTATATTCAATTATTCAGTCTCTTCCACGAGTATCGGGACCCTTTTACGATAGTTTCACAATACGAAGTTTACTTTTTTCGAAAACAAAATGCTTACATCTGATCAGTATGCCGATGAGGTTCTTCGTACCCAACTATTCAAATTATCATTCAAAATATTTGGGTGCATTTATGGATGAGACACGTATTGATGGTCAAGATACTGATCTTAATCGATGGGTGAAATCGAAGCCATCCAAATCGATTCTGTACGGAGCTTTCAGTAGTACTTCATTGATTTCTTATAATCGAATGCGCAACTTGATTATTGGGCAAGTAAATTTTCTCCTTAGAACAAATGATACTCTACTTTTGTTCGCACTTCGCAGTGCAAATTTTGATACATATCAAGCAGTCTTGAAAGATTTACATAGCAACGAATTGAGAACTATTTTACATAACAAGCATCGAGTACGTATTGAAGAAGGCTTTGTTCAACAGAAATGGATTCTACATCAAGATTCTGTCAAAATCTTCTTGAGTCATTGTGGTATGGGTTCATTAGTAGAATCGCTTTATCTTGGTAAATCGATTTTGTGCATGCCTTTCAATATGGAACAATTTGCCAATGCAACTAATGTAGTGAATTTGGACGTTGGAAAATCATTATTCATTCCACCTTCGGCTTGGCAATCTTTGATAGATCCATATAATTTTGTTAACTATACCTTTACATCTGATATTGTTACAAATAATACATTACATTCTATCAAAGATATATGCTCGATATCTTGCTCGTATATCTTGTGCTCCCGATAACAATACTGTTCTTTTTTGATGCGTCGACGTTGCAAAAGTTCAACTAAACAA